GAGGCCACGTGGGTCTGAGGGCAGCGGCCGGAAGGGGATGGGAGGGCCAGGGAGTGGGGGGGATGCCAACTGGCTGGCAGCCCAGGCCCTGCTCCGCAGCCCCCGGCAGGCAGCTTGACAAGACATGTGCAGAGCCCATGTGAAAGAAACCATAAAACACTCCTGCGAGGCACGAAGAAGACCCAAAATAGAAAGGTTAGGACGTTTCAGCATCATCAAGATGTCAGTTCTCTCTAATTTAGGGTATAAATTTAATGGGCTCCTAATAAAAATTCCAATGAGCATTTTTTCACGGAGCTACACGGTTGATGTTAACATTCGTATGGAAAAATAAACAGGCAAGAATAGCTGAGGGCGGCGAGGAGGAGGGGCTCGGGGTGGGCATTACGACATGCTGCGCAGACTTCTCCTGGAGACAGCGGGCTGATGACACGGGGGAGCCACGGAGCCAGACCACGGTGGGGGAGTCCGGTGAGTTATGAAGGACGCGTTTCAGTTCCCCGCAGCCGTCATGATCCGTCAAGTAAAATGATGCCAGGCGAGTAGATCATTGTTTGGAAAAAGATAAAATTAGATCCATTTCTCACACCAGGCAGAAGAATAAACTCACAAGATCAAAGCTCTGGAAGTACGAAGCTTCGATATACAAATACCAGAAGCAAACACAGGTGAATCCTTCTGTAAGCAGTGTGCAGAGAAAGGCTTTCCAGCTGTGAGTAAAAACCCAGCTCCAATAAAGAAAACAGCAACACATTTGTCTGCAAAAATGGGGAGTCTTGCATGAAAAATAAGTAAAGTAAAAGACACACTAGCAGAAAATAGTTGGAACTTACCTCGTAGATGAAAGGCTTGATATACGAAGAATTTTTAAAAGGTGAGAAACAAAAGTGCAAAAATCCTGTAGAAAAAAGAGCAAACTACACGAAAAATCTTTCCCCAAAAGGGCTATAAAAATGGCCCTCGGACAAGTGAAAAGTCATTTTGCTTCTCTATATAAGAGAGATAGACTGAAGCCAGGCAAGGTGCCATCTCTTATCCATCCGACTGGCAAAAACACAAAAGTCTGACAACACGCTCTGCCGGCGAAGCTGTGGGTAAACAGACAGGCTCAGACGCTGCCGACGGCAACGAACCCAGCGGAGCCCTTGTGCATGGACAAATCCACGCGGGCATTTACACTTTGACCCAGCAACCTCACTTTGAAGAATTCACCCAAAAGATACGCTTTCAGCATCACAAAATACAGAGGCATGGGGTGTTCCCTCCATCAATATTCATCGCGGCAAAGTAGGGAGAGTTAAGGTGCAAGAGGAGGCGGGGACCGCGCACCCCACACCCTCAGCGGGGTGGGGCCGGGCCGCTCGACAAAGGGTCTCTGCTGAGCACTTTGGAGTGATTTCTAGGATGCAACGTTGAGTGAAAAATTTCAAGGGCAACAACAGCACAACCACGTGCCAACTTGTATGTCATAAAGAAAGGGAACAGGAAGAAGTACCCAGTCGGCCTGTGTTTACAAGAAGACACTCAGGACAAGTAAGCAAGGAAAGAATGAGATCCATCCCCTGCCCGAGCAGGGGTGGGGGGACTCCTCTGTGAAGCTCGCCTTTGGAAGCAGGTTCTTGTTCTACACGTTCAAGTCAATTCAATCAGCGAGGAGGAAAAAGGGGAAGACAAAATTGAAAGCAAACTGGTAGAAACCAATCCCCTTTGGTTCAGAGGCACCCTGAAAACCAAAATGGAAACAAAAGCAAATCCAGGTGGCTTTAGAACAGAGTGATGGTCTGGACACCCTGAGTCTTGGATGGGGCTGGAGATGGGGCAGAGAAAAGCGGGAGCAGATTAGAACAAATTACAGCTACATGGGTTCTTGTCCGTCTAGCCAAGGCTATGGATTTTGCACTAGTTAGTCATGCATTGATGTGAGAGTTGGACTATAAAGAAAGCTGAGCACTGAAGGATTAATGCTTTTGAACTGTGATGCTGGAAAAGACTCTGGAGAGTCCCTTGGACTGCAAGGAGACCCAATCAGTCTATCTTAAAGGAAATCAGTCCTGAATATTCACTGGAAGGACTGATGCTGAAGCTGAAGCTCCAATACTTTGACCACCTGAGGCAAACAGCCGACTCATTGGAAAAGACCCTGATGCTGGGAAAGATTGGGGGCAGGAGGAGAAGGGGACGACAGAGGATGAGATGGTTGGATGGCATCACCGACTCAATGGACATGAGTTTGAGTAAACTCCGGGAGTTGGTGATGGACAGGGAGGCCTGGTGTGCTGCAGCCCATGGGGTCACAGAGTCGGACATGACTGAGTGACTGAACTGAGCTGAACTGAACTTGTCGGGCTGCTGAGAAGCTAAGGGCACACCCCCGGGGGCACCGCTGCCAGAAAAGAGACATAACTGTGGCGTGGGGAGGGCGTCAGCCCAGGTCATCAGTATGAACACAACATCTCTACAGCGTCCGGGGGGCTTCACTGGTGGCTCAGATGGTAAAGAATCTGCCCGCAGTGCGGAAAACCCAGGTTTGGTCCCTGGGTTGGGAAGATCCCCTGGAGAAGGGAATGGCAACCCACTAATGGCAGCCCAGTGTTCTTGCCTGGAGAATCCCATGGACAGAGGAGCCCAGTGGGCTAGAGTCCACGGGGCCGCACAGAGTCAGACACGTCTGAGCGAGTACCCCTTCACTTTGACATTTTCAGTGTCCTTGCAGTGCATTTGTATGCATGCATGTGTGCCTGTCTGCTGCATGTGTGCCCGGGTACACATGTGCGCACAGCTCCTCCGTCTCTCTGCCGACGGGCCTGAAAGCCTGAGTCCATGACCCCTGGCACCCAGACACTTTCTGGTTTCTAAGCCACTTTCTACTAAAAGGAAGCAGGCTTCCAGGAGAAAGGCTGATTTTAGGGCTGTGGCAGGGAAAGCCTGCCTTGAGCCTGGAACCTCTTGTCCACCAGCGAGTAAAGAGGTGCTAACAAAGGTGGGATGTCACAGAGACCCCCGAGCCGGCTTGGTGGGGCACTCAGGGGCCAGCGTTTGGGGTGATCTGAGCATCAAACTAATGAAGGACCCCGATAGATTATAGATGTTCACGCTGAAAAAAGACACTTACCTACATTCACAATACATAGATGGAGTGATGGATTGATCGATAGATGATGATATGGATGCATCTATCTGCACAAACATGCCTACAAACCTGCACACCTACCTACCTACCTGACAGATGATATAGAGGGGAACAGACAGGTGGATAGATGGATGGATGACAGACGAGACAGAAGACTTACTGCATTCCTCGCACGCTGGATGCCAACTGCTACACGTGCAGCAACTGCTGGGTTGGAAAATCGACATTTAGCAACCTAAGACTGGATCAGCAAGTCACTAATGGATGCTAAATCTAGGGGGACGTTTTGATGAGACGCAGACCATTTCCAGGGTCCTTAAAGAGTCTGCTTTCCAGACTGCGTATCAGTTGCAAGGAAATACAGCAGGTGAATCAGACAGTTCCTTGAGCAGCTCACCAGAAACAGCCTCACTGGTGAGAGGCAGAAGCTTGTCGTGTGCTCTCGACGTGGAAGCGGGGAGGACATGTCATCCATGCGTTACTGCAGTCAGAATCTAATAGAGAGGAAGGATCAGACAAACCTCAAGGAGCACCGTTCTATAAAAAAAAAAAACCTGTAGTCTTCAAAATGTCAGTGACATGAAAGACAAAGACGACGGAAATGTACCAGATGAAAGGAAACTAAAGAGACAGGCAGATAAGTGCAATCCCTGATCCCCAAGAGACCCTGGGCCAGAGAGCGGGCGAGAAAGGGCGTCATCTGGTCAGCTGGCAGAACCGGAGTGTGAGTGTCAGCTTAGATAAGGGTATGGGAGCTGTGTTGATAATCGCACTGATGTTATGTAAGAGAAGAGCTCTGTCCCGAAGGGTGAAGGGCTGCCGTGCCTGCAGCTCGGCCTCCAACAGTTCAGAGAAAAATCGAAGGTTCCCAAGGTGGTGAAGCGGGGAGGGTGAGGGGAGGGGCATGGGAGAGGGAGGGAGGGGGAGGGGAGGGGAGGGGAGGGCGGGGCAGGGGAGGAGGGGGGAGGGGAAGGGGGGAGGGGAGGGGGAGGAGCAAATTAATGATGAAATAAATGGGGTAAAACATTAGCAGTGATGGAATCCAGGTAAATGGTAGGTGGCATTCCTTGTGCTACTTTCATTCTCATAACTTACCTGCAGTTTGAGATTATTCCCAAATGAAAAATTTAAAGACAGCAGCCACCTGCTCCCCACCCGTGTCTAAGTGAGGCGCCCAAATAATACTCTGCTGTTGGCAGTCACACACACTCCCTCCCAGTGACCTCCCCCTTCTAGGGACTCCCCATATAAACAGTGCCAGGACATCCCACCCTCCTCAGAGTACTTGTTCAGTAAAAACAGTAAAAATCCACCACAATAATAAACCCTTCTCTGTGTATACAGCACTCAACAGTTTATAAAGCACTTTCCAGACCCAGTACGATCTTGATAGCAATTCTGAGAGAGACTTGTAACAGCTAAAATTTGTGTTATATCAAATCATGTTTCAAAAACATTGCTTTAAAAGGGGGCTTCATAATGTTTATTTTGCTGGGCTCTGATAAGGATGAAGTGGAATCAGACAACTGTAAATGCTGGGAATTCTCAAGCAGTTTATCTAAAGCAGTCCCTCAGGCCTCTTGGGATCAGCTAGGGAGCTTATGAAATGCAGATTCCTAAAAAAAAAAAAGAAAGAAAGAAATGCAGATTCCCAGGTGCCATGCCCAGATCTCAGGACTGGGGACTGGCATCTCCACGGTAGCAGACCGCCCAGAGGAAACTGGTTCAGAGCAGACTTGCCGGCAGACACAGATATGGGGTGACCCTGCCCCCTGGGCTGGAGCTCAGGGCGGGGCCAACCTCGGGCAGGACCACACACCCTGTATCCCACTCCTGCGAGGGGCCAGGCAGGGCCCCCACATGTTCTTACCCAATTTCTCCACTGGGAAGTTTCGGACGGCCAGCTGGGGCCCTGCGCACCGGTCCGCCGGCTCAGCGGGGCTCAGCTGTGGGCTCCCTGGACAGAGCTGGGACCCGCTGCAGCCCTGGTGGAGCCTGGCTTTTCAGAGAGGGTGTTCACATCACCTCTTACCCGAGACACAGGCAGAGGGCCTTTCCTATGTATTTTATTTTTATTTTTAATTGTGGTTGAATATACATGAGTTGACTACACAGGGCTTCTCTGGGCACACAGACGGTAAAGAATCTGCCTGCAGTGCGGGAGACCCGGGTTCCATTCCTGGGCTGGAAGATCCCCTGGAGAAGGGAACAGCAACCCACTCCAGTAACCTTGTCTGGTTAGAGAATCCCATGGACAGAGGAGTTACAGTCCATGGGGTCGCAAAGAGTCGGACACAACTGAGCGACTTCACTTCACACAGATGGACCGTGACTGCCTTTGTTAAAATACAGTTCACCGCGATTAGCATCAGCTCCAGGACCGCGCCCTGCTCCCAGTCTCGGGGGTTTTGTTTCAGTGGTGCCAGCAAGCTGACACAGCAGTACAGAGTTGGGGTCCCCCTGTGCGGACAAGGGGGCAGGGGAGCGCCAAGCCGTAGGTGTGGCCGGGGAGTGAGTGTCTGATCACTCAGGCCGGCGTGAGGTCATCAAGGAGGCGGCGAAGGACCCGCCACGTGAGGGACGGGTGTCTGTGAGCCCTGGAGGCGGGGACAGAGGGGCTCTCTCATTAGAGATCGGACCCGAGCTTTCGGAGAGAAAACGATTCCACGGTCCTGAATTCTTCTGCGTCTTCCTTATGCCAAGGACTGACTGCCACTGGCGGACGTGGCCAAGGGCTGACCGCCACTAGGGGACGTGGCCAAGGGCTGACCGCCACTGGCGGACGTGTCCGGGGTCGCCCTGTTCCAGCTCATCCACTCGCTCTTCTGCTCAGCATTGGTTGAGGTTTTTAGATTGAAGCCCAGTTGACTTGGGCTTCCCTGGTAACTCCGTGGTAAAGAACCGGCCTGCCAGTGCAGGAGACGTGGGTTCGATCCCTAGATGGGGGAGGTCCCCTGAGAAGGAAGCGGCAACCCACTCCAGTATTCTTGCCTGGGACTTTCCGTGGACGGAGGAGCCTGAGGGCTACAGCCCATGGGGTTGCCGAGTCAGACACGACTGCGCGGCCGAGCAGCGGCAACACTTGTCTGAGGATGTTGCGTTCATGTCAGACGCGCGGCACAGGGATGCAGCTCCACGTGTCCATCTCACATCGAAGTTTGGGGCCTTCCCTCACCTCCAACAGTGTCCGTCTTACCTGGAAGGTCTGCCATGGCCGTTCCAGTAGCTCTGTTCACTGGGGAGCTGGTTAGTTCTCGATCGCGGCATCCCCCTTCCTCCTGGTTCCTCCCCGCCGCCTCCTGACTTTGCACCTCTAACCCCCATGGTGACGGCCGGCTCTGTCCTCACTCACTGCCCGCTCCGGGGAGGGCTGACACCTGTTAAGATGGGTGCACATCTCGGGGCCTTGGTGAGAGTGAGGCAGGAGCTGGGGGTCCCGGGGTCCGGGGCAGGGGCTGGTCTTCTGAACCAGTGACCGCTCCTCTGAACCAGTCTGAACCAGTCAGTCGTCTTCTGAACCAGTCTGAACCAGTGACCGCTCCTCTGAACCAGTCTGAAGCAGTCAGTCGTCTTCTGAACCAGTCTGAACCAGTGACCGCTCCTCTGAACCAGTCTGAACCAGTCACTCGTCTTCTGAACCGCTGGGCAGGGGCCGCTCCGTTGTGCTTCTCCCCCTGCTGACCCCTCTCAGCCTCCGGCCCCTGGAGGCGAGCCCCGCCCTCCCCGCTGTGGGGAGGAGAGCTGCTGGGCGCATGGCAGTTCCTGCAAGGCCCCCCTGCCCCTCCCCAGGCGCGGTGGGGCGGCCTGAGCGCCTGGCTCCTGGCTCTCCTCACCTGGCTGGACCTTCCTCACCTTTCCTGGTCCTCTGTGGTCAAACCAGGAGGACGGCTGAGTGCGGGGCGGGGCTCCCCCTGCGGTCCGGGGCGTCACCTTCCGCCCTCAGCGTCTGGTCCTCGCATGGGATGCATTCGCTTGGTGAAGACAGCTTTGCCTGTGAGATCTGGAGCAGGAGGAGGCGGGGGAGAGGGGGTGCAGCCTGCTTCTTGAATCAGAAAAAAAAAAGGCACTTCCCTGGCGGTCCAGGGGTTAAGACTCCATGCTGCTCATGCAGGAGGCGTGGGTTCCTTCCCTGGTTGGGAAACTGAGATCGCATATGTCGTGCAGTGTGGCCAAAATGTAAGAACATAAACGTAATAATAATAAGCAGGTGTCCAGACAGCAGTCCTAAGAGGTGAGCATTTTGATTCCTACTTGGCCCCCCAGTGATACTTAGCAGAGGAGAGCCTGCTGCTATAGGAAGAGTCAGGATTTGAACTTGGGTCTCACGGCGTGATGGGTCTGCCATGTGAGCCCAAAATCCATGGCGCAGTCTGCATGGCCTGGGTGGGGCTACTGGTCTGGGCAGCCCTGGTCTGCCCTGTCCATCTTCCCAGCATCCCACCGTGGACGTGATTTCATTTCACACCGCTCAGTTCAGTTCAGCTTTCTCCGCCTCAACGAGCACGTCTCCTGGGCCGCCCTGTGCCTCACCGCGGCTGGGGCATTGATGGTTGAGTAGGAGGTCGGGCTCTGCGTCCTGGCGGCTGCTCCCGGGCCAGAGGGATGGGCTGAAGGCGAGTGGATGTGTGCCTGCTTCTGAGAAAGGTTGGAGATCTTGTCTGCTCTCCCTTTGGGGTCACCTCGATTCTACCCTTTCACCACCTGACTTGTCCTTCCTCAGGCTGGTGGTCACTGAACCATCCCTTGAAAGGGCAGCTGAGACTGGGATGCGCGGGGCGGGGGCTGGTCCCCAGAGCAGGGAGAGGTGTCCCTGCTGGACACACAGGAGCGTCCGCACCCCCCCCTCCAACCACGTGTCTGTCCCGAAGCAACAGCACCGGTGATGAAAGAGCTGGAAGCGGGTGAATAATGAGACAGCGGGTTTAGTTCTGAGCAGAAAGCCAGCCATGCTGGGAGGCGTGGAGCGGCCCCCGTGGGCGGGGACCTGCCCAGGAAGGAGGTGGGGGTCCAACCTCGTCCACCTCCGGGGCCGTGGGCACGGCTCCTCAGGCACACGGCGCTGGCCCTGCTCAGGCCGTCACATGGTAATGAGGTGCCGTGTGCCCTGCGCTGGGGGGGCCTCCACCCCGATACAGTGAGGAAACCAAGGCTTCGGGCAGTGAAGCGGCAGAGCCAGCCCCAGTCCTGCCCTGTGACCCCAGTCTCTGCTCGGAGGGCTGCCAAGACCACGTTCTAATACATGAAGGGTACGTGTCTGTGACCCTGACCTTCCACCACCAGAGACAGCTTCGCACCAGAGACCCTGGTTCTGGAACCTTGCGTGTGCCATACGTCACTTTCTCGGTGGCGGGCAACGACAGTTAAATGAACGCGTTTTCCTTTTATGAAATGTAACCTTGGATCAAGGCCCAGGAGGAGCGCGCCCGGTCCCTGGAAACGGGGAGCAGTCAGAAAGGGGGGACCCCACCCCGTCTCACAAAGTGCCCCCCGGCGACCAGGACCCACACTCCTGGGTGACGACCTGCTTCCCGTGAAGGAGACCGAGCCAGCCCCTGGGAGGCAATGGACGCACCGGGACGTGCAAACCCCCAGCCACGCGCATCCCAGCCACATCTGAGCCGCGCCTGGGCAGCAGCGAGGTCCCCTGGGGGCACAGCCTGGCCCGGGCACCACTCAGGCCTGCAGGGGCCTCGAACTCTAGGCTGGTAGGAGATGGAACTTCCACGGGCGTTTCTCATGACAGGTCCCAGGCTAGGATCCCGCAGGACATTCTGTTCAGAACACGGCCACAAGTGCAGACTTGCACGTGGGCATTAAGTCTACCAAAGGTGGATGGAGTGACCCTCGCCCCTGGCCTCCACGTGCCAGGCTCCCCGGGTCCTCCCCCCGAGTACCAGGCTGTGCCAGGCCCCGGACATGCTCTGCCCCTTAAACCCCTCCCCAGCAGCCTGATGAGGTCCAGGCGTGGTCTGAGTGTCTGTTCCCTCACAACTCACACGCTGAACTCCTACCCCCAGCCTGAGGGTATCTGTGGGTGGGCCTCGGGAGGTGGTCTGACTCTCCAGCTGTGGGCGGGATCTGTGTCCTTGTAGAGGAGGCCGACAGAGCCCCTCAGCCCCCCATCTCATGAGGATGCAGCGAGAAGGGCCGGCTGCAACCCAGGAAGACGGTCCTCACCCGGACGTGACTACACGCGCTGATCCCTGGCTTCCAGCGGCCAGAACCACGAGCAGTAAACGTCTGTGGTTCATGGGGCCGCCACGTCTGTGGGCTTTTGTTACAAGCATGCAGACAGACCAAGTCAGGGACGGTGAATGGGATGACCAGGGTGTCCCTGGTGGCTCAGATGGTAAAGAATCCCCCTGTAGTGTCGGAGAACCGAGTTCGATCCCTGGGTTGGGAAGATCACCTGGAGAAGGGAGTGGCAACCCACTCCAGTATGCTTGCCTGGAGGATCCCATGGACAGACCATGGGGTCACAAAGAGTCGGCCACGACACGACTGAGCGACTAGTACCTTCCCACTTTCACAGATGACCTGGAGGGCATGGGCAAGTCATGCCGCGGCTCAAGGCCACTCATCCTTTGTGTCAGGCTGTGGGGAGGACCCCCACTTCCAGCCGGACCCTCTGGGGTTCACGTTCATCCTCTGGACTCGTGTGGGCAGCCCCCTTCCCCTGGGCCTTTGTCTTCCATACAGTGGTGGCGACAGCGACCCGATCGTGTGGGTGAAAGGCCCAGGCCTCAGCGTGTCCTCCCCAGAAGACTCAGTCCCCAGGACCCCCCACGCTGCTCACTGCAGGAAGCCATGGTCTCCCCGGCACCCCGTGCCCTGATCCTTGAATATTCATCTGTGTGGAGTCCCCCAGTGCAGTGGTTTCCATGGAGACCCACTCCAAATGGCTTAAATAGACAAGGGCGCGGGTTTTCCAAGGCCTGCACGCAGGCCAGCGTGGACGCAAGCATCCCCATCCATGGTGGGTCCTGTTGACCTCTCTGGAGATACTGGAGATGGGGGGTGTGTTGGGGGGAGGGGGGCCGGGGGAGCCTGGGAGCCTGGGGTGGAGGTGAGGCACAGAGGAGTTAGTCCCCACAACATGTCACTCTGGTGATGCTTGCATCGAGTCGCTGGCAGGCAGCACGTGTGCCATCCTGGACGCTGCCCGTCCACACGGGCTTCCACCGTGACCCCAGCACATCCCGTCTTGAGAGGATGAGGCCCCGAGCCCAGGCCTCCCACCACCATCACCCCAGCCGCCCCCAGAGCCACCGTGTTTGGGTGGGTGGGGGCGGGTAGGACCTGCCTCCTTCCGGCCTTTGAACACTGTCTGAAGGGTGATCGCCACACACCGACCCGTCCTGTTCTGACCTGAGCCCTTGACCCACCCTGGCTTCTCAGGCCGGGCCGTCGTCAATGCTCTCTGTTTGGCTCCCAGCAGATAGCAGAACGCCTGGCGTGAGTTTGACGGTCAGTGTCAGGGACCGCGGGATGGCCTGGGTGCAGGAAGGTGGGGCCTTGTGGTCCAGGGAGGCGTCTGGTCCAAAGCGGCCCGAGGGCCTGCTCGCTGCTGCCCAGGGAGCAGCTATGGACCGCGCCCCTCCGCACTGCAGCCCTTACCTAGCGGCTGGGCCTTGGCAGGATGCAGTCAGAGGCCAGCGGGGAAGGGCGGGCGCCCGGGGAGTGGAGGGCGAGGTGCCCACAGACCTCGCACCCGTGACCCAGCCCACATGCACCGCCGTTTGCCCCTCAGGAGATGAGAGGCGGGAGGTTGAGGGTTGCGGGTGTGGACGGCTCCCAGGGCCGAGTCCGTCTGTCTGTCTGTCTGAAGCAGGGGCCATGCCAGCCAGGAGCTCAGCGCTGATGCTGTGAGGCCCGTGTGCAGCTGGGGGGCCGGGCAGGCACCCTGGGCTGTCGAGCACGGATGTGGGGAGATGCCGCCCTGATTCCTCGCTGCCCCCAGTGGGCCGGCCAGCGCCCGTGAGAGCTGGCTTCCCCCACACTTTCGGGGGCATCCACTCTGTCCACTCGGATGCTCACTCTTCCCGCTTAGATGACTGGAGCCTGTGCACCGGTGAGCAGGCCGGGCATCCTCACTGACCCGCTCGCCCACTCATGTGTCCATCCAACAGTCCTCCTGAAGGAGTCCACCCTCTAATGGACCCGGGATGCTGCAAGTGAAGCATCTGGGTTCCTGCCCCGAGGAGCCCTGAGCGCACGAAGAGGCACCCAGGAAGACTGAGATAATGAGCCCCCATGACGGGGCCTTGGCAGCCCTCCGGTGTCATGAGGAGCCCCAGGAGGGCTTCCTGGAAGAGGCGGCTGAACTTGTTTTGAAGGACGAGGAAGAGAGAGCTGTGAAGGGTCACGCTGGGAAGAGTGCTCTGGGCAGAGGGGTCCCAGTCACGAAGGTGTGGAGGTGGGGAGGCTCGGGGGGGCGTCAGGGAGGAACAGAGCAGAGCAGAGCAGCTGGCATTCCTGAAGCAAAGTGTGTGAGGTCAGGAGGGATGAGGGAGGCGCCAGGGCTCAGCCACACTGCCGCGGGGGTGGGGGTTCTGTGTACTGGCTCAGGGCCAGTGGCTGAGGCCACAGGGAGAGTGGGCTCAGAGTTCGACCTGGAAGGGTCCCTCTGGGTGAGGGGGAGACTGAAGGGCCAGTCCCACAGGCGGACAGTGGAGGGCGGGGTGAGGCTGGCCGGGCCATCACTGCGGCTGACGTGACGCCCCTGTCCACAGCTGTGCTGCTGTTGTTCAGCCCCTCAATCGTATCCGACTCTCTGCGACCCCATGGGCTGCAGCTCGCCAGGCCTCCCTGTCCATCACCATCTCCTGAAGCTTGCTCAAACTCATGCCCATCAAGTCAGTGATGCCATCCAACCATCTCATCATCTGTCGCCCCCTTCTCCTCCCGCCTTCAATCTTTCCCAGCATCAGGGTCTTTTCCAAAGAGTCAGCTCTTCACATCAGGTGGCCAGAGTACTGGAGCTTCAGCTTCAGCATCAGTCCTTCCAGTGAATATTCAGGGTGGATTTCCTTTGAGACTGGGACCCACTAATTCCCTTTCTGTCACCCACAAGACTTCAAGCACTGGGACCAGTCTGGAGGGGTGGGGCCTTGGATGTTGCCCCTGCTGGACACCGGCCCACCTTGCAGCCATGCCAAGCGACGCTTTAAATTTCCAAAATGCACCTGATGTCGCCTTCACCTCCTCCAGAAGGGCTGTGGCTATGAAAGTAAAGCGTGTCCGACTCTTTGCAACCCCATGGACTATACAGTCCATGGACTCCTCCAGGCCAGAATACTGGAGTAGGTAGCCTTTCCCTTCTCCAGGGGAATCTTCCCAAGCCAGGGATCGAACCCAAGTCTCCCGCATTGCAGGCAGATTCTTTACCAGCGGAGCCACGAGCAAGCCCAGAAGGGCAGGGGCCGCCAAATCCCCAGGGCCTCCCACCGGGCTCCCTGTTAGTGTGGGGCTCTTCTGACATCAGGAAAGGGCGCCTTCTTGGGAATGAAAAGGAGATACTTGCTTCCTCCTGGAATTTGTATATATATATATTTTCTGCTGTAATTGAAACAATATCTGGAACGAGGCATCTAATTACTCCTCTTTTCTTGAAATTGAACGATAACATGTCCTGTCAATACAAACCTTTTGTGGAAGCCACACACACGGTTTCCCAGAGCGATTCTGATGAACACACGGCAGAAAAAAGTATTTGGGTTTCATACAGTTTCTCTAAGTGTAACAGCAGAGCTTGACGCTGCCAGCTCCATCTTTTGTTCTGCTCCAGTTTGAAAGTGTCTCTGTACTCCTGGGTTCCTGCATAATAATAGCTCATAATTCGAGCCTGGAGAGGAGGCTGCCTAATTAGAATTTTTAGAGCTGGGAGAGCCTTGAGGAAACCAGAGAGGAGCCACGCATTCAGAAAGGTAAACTGAGGCCTGGGCAGTGGCAAGGTGTCAAAGGTGACGGAGCTTTGGATAAGGTGAGGCTGGATGCTCAGGGGCCAGACCAGGAGAGCCGCGGAGAGACGCAAGCTGGTCTCTGCAATCTCAGCAAGGGGTGAGGGTTCAAATTCCAGCTCTGCCTTAACTCAACCCAGCCCAGCCCACTTCTGACCCTCTCCTGCAGGCATGCACGCTTAATCGCTTCAGTCACGTCCAACTCTCTGCAACCCTAGGGACTGTAGCCAGCTAGGCTCTTCTGTCCATGGGATTCTCCAGGCAAGAATACTGGAGCAAGCTGCCATTCCGTTCTCTCAGAGCTTCCCTGATAGCTCCCTCGGTAAAGAATCCGCCTGCAATGCAGGAGAACCCGATTCGATTTCTGGGTTGGGAAGATCTGCGGGAGAAGGGAAAAAGCTACTCGCTCCAGTCTTCTAGCCTGGACTCCATGGACTGCAGTCCAGAGGGTCGCAAAGATTCAGACAGGACTGAGCGACTTTCACTTTCATCCAGCTTTCCTTGTGGCCCAGAGAGTAGAGTCTGCCTGCAAGCCAGGAGGAGACCTGGGTTCGATCCCTGGGTTGGGAAGATCCCCTGGAGAAGGAAATGGCAATCCACTTCAGTAATCTTGCCTGGAAAAATCCCATGGATGGAGGAGCCTGGCAGGTACAGTCCATGCGGTGGCAAAGAGTCGGGCACGACTGAGGGGCTTCACTTTCACTTTTCTCCAGGGGATCTTCCAGACCCAACCCAGGGATCCAACCCAGGTCTCCTGCGTTTCCTGATTTGTTTACCGCTGAGCCGTCAGGGAACCCAAACCCTCACCTGACCCGAAGCCTAATCCTGATCCAAACTGCATCTTAAATACTGGATCTACCCTCAAGATTAACCCTAACCCATCCCAACTCAAATCCTATTTTTAAACTTAGCCCCAACCAAACCCCAGCTAAACGCCAGTCTAAACTCTCAGCACCATTGTTGTGTTGTTGTTGACTAAACCTTAAGTCTAACCTTAATCCCAACCCCAACCCTAACCCTGACCTCAGCTCAACCGCCTTCAGGCAGAGCAGAGCTCACATTTCTGCAGAGTCGGCACTTTCCCACCTGCTCTCGGGTCCTCCGCGGTTTTCTGCATCCCCTGGTCCCTGACAGGCCCCGACACACTGGTCCCTGCATCTGGGTTCACCCGAGTGACCCAGCGTGGCGTCAACGGCCACCTGGTGTGCACCAGCCGGGCAGTACTCACGCAGGCCTGTCCTGTCCCCAGGGAAACTTTCTCCCCATTTGCTGGATGAGGAAACTGAGAGTCT